TCCGGCTCCGGTTCGGGCTCCGGCTCGGGCTCCGGCTCGGGCTCCGGTCCGGGCTCCGGCTCGGGCTCCGGCTCGGGGGCCGACTACTTCCCCATCCCTCGATGCCGCCGCCTTCCTCCCCTTTGCCTTTGCCTTTCTCCTCCTCCTCCTCCTCGTTCTCCTCCGCCCCGTCCGGTTTCACTTTCTCTGCGCGCACCGCCCCGTCCGCCGCGCTGTCCCGTCTGGTCCTCCTCCCCCGTCCCGCCCCCCCGGCACATCTGGCCTCCAGCCGAGCTACCCAGGGCAAGCTGGACCGAGAGAGTGGAAAACTCCAGCCCTGATACTCTCTCCTTAGGCCTCTGGAAGTCCTGGGGCAGAGGGGGCTCTGGGAGGGGGGAGAGGAGAGGCCACGGACCCAACCTCCGCGCCCGGCGGCACGCAGGGGCGGAGCTGGGGAGCCGGTACACGGAAGAACCTGGGAAGCATCCCTGGCTCCCAGTGTCTGGGGCCTCCCTGCAAAACTCTCGGGGGTTATGGGAGAGGAGATCCGAAGACATTAGGAAGGCTGAGCCGAGGAGATGAGGAGAGAAAGTCCACATCTAGCTGGGTAGTCTGCAGAGGCGGGAAGAAGGGGCGTCGGCCCCTCGCCTCCCCAGCTTGGGGAGGATGGCGACCTGAGGTGGGGGCAGGGGAAGGGCGATTTGACCAGATGTGCTTCCTGTCCATCGGCTGCTCTGTCGGTGAGAAATGCCCCGGCTGCCTGCCTGTCATGTCTCTCGAAGGACATCAGGGTAGGTCCTGTGCCTTTGGCCAGGTTTCCCCAGCGCCCGAGGGATATACCTCTGGAAGACTTGGGAGGTAGGAAGACGGGACCGCACAAGAATCTCAGAGTTGGAAGTGACCACTTCGGAGATCGAGTATCCCAACCCATATCTGATCGCTGATTACTGTTACAACCTCTCGCCATGCCCCCCCCCCCAACCTCCTCAACACGCTTGGATGCTACAGTCAATCAGTCAACAAGCATTTATTAGGCTCTCTAGGGACAGGAGTGTAAACGACGAAACAATCCCTACTTTCAACGGACTTAGGTTCTTATGGCGGAGACAGGTACCTATGTAACTTCATGTAGCATTAATATAAGGTGAATAAATGAAGATACACAAAATAATTTAATAGAAAGTAGTTAGGAAAGGAGGGCACTCACGTGGGGGGATCAGGAAAGGCTTCATGTAATGCTTGAGCTGGGTCTTGAAGGACTAGCGGGACTGAAAAAGGGACAAGGAGAAAATAAACTTAAAAAAATTTTTTATTAATTTATTTTAATTTATCAACAATCACTTCCATAAGCTTTTGAGTTTTAAATTTTCTCCCCCTTCCTCTCTGCCTCCCTAAAATGGTGAGCAATCTGATATAGGCTATACATATACATTCCTATTAAACATATTTTTACATTAGTGATGTTGTAAGTTAAGAATTAGAACGAATAGGAGGAATCACAAGAAAGAGGAAACAAAACAAAACAGAAGAAAAAAATAGCAAATAGTATGCTTCGATCTGCATTCAAGCTCCATAGTTCTTTCTTTGCATGTGGACAGCATTTTCCATCATGAGACCTTTGGAGATGTCTTAGATCCTTGTATTGCTGAGAAGGGTTAAGTCTATTAAAGTTAGTCATCGCACAACGTGGTTGTTACTGTGTACAACTTTCTCCTGGTTCTGCTCACTTCACTCATCATCAGTCCATACAAGTCTTTCCAGGTTTTTCTAAAGTCCACCTGCTCATCATTCCTTATAGCATAATACTATTCCATTACATTCATATACCACAATTTGTTCAGCCATTCCCCAATTGCTGGGCATTACCTCAATTTCCAATTCTTTACCACCACAAAAAGAACTGCTATGAATATTTTTGAACATGCGGTTCCTTTTCCCATTATCTCTCTGGCATATAGCCCTAGAAGTGCTCTTGCAGGGTCAAAGGGTATGCACATTTTTATAGCCCTTTGGGCATAGTTCCAAATTGCTCTCCAAAATGGTTGGATCATTTCACAACTCCACCAACAGTTCATTAGTGTTTCAATTTTCCCACATCTTCTCCAACATTTATCATTTTTCCTGTTTTGTCATGTTGGCCAATCTAATAGGTGTGACGTGGTACCTTAGAGTTGTTTTGATTTACATTTCTCTAATCAATAGTGATTTAGAGCATTTTTTTCATGTGACTATAGAAGGCTTTAATTTCTGCGTCTGAGAACTGCCTGTTCATAGCCTTTGACCATTTATCAATTGGGGAATGACTTGTGAGAATAAACTTTTTTTAAGGGCCTACTATGTGCTAAGCACTTTACAAATATTTCATTTGATTTGACCCTCAAGACAACCCTGTGAAGGATGTACTATTATGATCCCCATTTTACAGTTGAGGAAACTGAGGCAGAGGTTAAGGGACTTGCCAGGGTACCATTAAGGTTCCAATTTTACAATGGAGGAAACCGAGGCAGACGGATATAGTGACATGCCTAGGGCCACACAGCCAGTGGATATCTGACTTTGGATTTGAATGCAAGTTTTCTTGACTTCAGACACTTGACTTCCTGTGCCACTTAGCTGCCTGGAGTAGGGTAACACCTCCATTTCAGGGATCTATTTAAGATCCTAAGGATGACCACTCCACTTGCAATGGGTAGGAAGTTTTTTTTTTTCCATGCCTATATTGTTTGTAAATATAGAGAAAGATGGAACACTGCCCAATACCTTTTATGAAGCAAATCCCATATTAATTTTAAAACCAAGTAAAGATAATACTAAAAAAGAAATATATATGCCAATTTTGCAAATGCATATAGATGCAAAAATAAGAAATATTAGGAAATCAAACAGTGATAAATTATGACTATTCATCATGATCAAATAGGGTTTATAACAGGCACAAAAGACTGTTTCAGCAGCAGAAAGATATTAAGATCACAAGCATAAAACGTAAACCAAAGGCTTCCCCCCCAAAAGAAATTGTCAATAGATGCAGAAAAGCTTTCGATGAGAACCAGCATTCATTCTTTTTTTTAAATTTTTACTTTTTTCAATTACCAAGCACTTTTGAAAATTAGTCTTTCCCCCCAACACCTCCCTACCACTGAGCTAATTTTAACACACACACACTCCCAAAGCCCTTAATACATAGCTGCATAGTCCAGCAAAACAAATCTCCACATTAACCATGTATGTCTCTCTCTTCCTGATCAAATCCAACAGCTCTTTTTTAGGAGATGAGTGGTGGGTTTCATTTTCATTCCTTTGGATGCTCATTGCATTGCCTAGAGTTCTAAATTCTTTCAAAGTTGTTTTTCTCTATAAGATTATAATTGTATGAATGATTCTCTTATTCACTCTGTATGAATTCATCCAAGTTTTCCCAGTTTCCACTGAAACTGTCCATTTCATAATTTCTCATGGCATAATAATATTCCATCCCTTCATATACTACAATTTGTTTAGCCATCCCCCAATAGGAGGCACCCTTTTAGTTTTCAATTGTTGGCTACCATGAAAAGAGCTGTCATAAATGTGATTGTACATATAGATCCTTTTCCTCTTTTTAAAAATTTCTTTGGGATATAAACCCAGTAGCAATATTGCTGGGTCAAATGGTATGAACAGTTTAGTAACTTTGTGAGCATAGTTCCAAATTGCTTTCCAGAAAGGAAGTAGTTTATGTACTATTCAACTTAATTGTTTTTTGAATTTTTGATAGAATTAATTTGTTTCTGGAGTTTTTTCTTTGAGAGTTCATTTACAGCTTTAGTTTCTTTTTCTGACATTGGGTTACTTAAATAGCCCTTTCTTGTTATTATGGCTATTTTAAAATTTTCTAAATATTCATGAATTTCCTTTACTTCATCAGTTTTGTTATATAATTTGGCAAAGTAGTTTCTGACCATTTCTCTTATTTCCTTTTTGGTTTTTGTAAGTTCCTCTTTTTCATTTTTGATATGAACAACTCAGTTTTCCTCTCTTCTAAGAAATCAGATTAGGAAGCTATTTATTTTACCAGTTTAAAAAAAAAAAGGTCCTGTAACTATTCCAATTAATACAATGATCCAGGACAACTCCAAAGGACTCATGATAAAAACATGCTGTCGACTTCTGGAGAAAGAACTGATAAACTCTGAGTGCAGACTGAAGCACTCTTTCCTCTTCTTGCTTTTTTTCCCCCTTTGCAATGTGGCTAGTATGTTTTGCATGACTTCACATGCATAATGAGCATCGTGTTGCTTGCCCTCTCAATGTGTGGGAGGTGAGAGGGAGAAAGAGAATTTGGAACTCAGAATTTTTAAAAAATGAATGTTAAAAATAAATAAATGTAATGAATGAAAAAGGACAGGTTTTGGTTTTATAAATAAATTCTAAGGTCTTTTTGCTTTCAATTTTATTAATACTTTCTTTGATTTTCATAATTTCTACTTTATTATTTAGTTGGGATTTTTTAAGTTGTTGTCCTTCAAGTTTTTAAATGTCATGCTCAATTCATTAATTTGTTATTTATCTTTTTTGTTTGCATTAGCATTTAGAGATTAGTGTTTCCCCATAGAACTGCTTTAGCTGCATCCCATAAGATTTGGTATTCTATCTCATTATTGTTATTTCCTTTAATGAGATTTTCTGCAATTTCCGTAATTTACTCTTTAACTGATCAATTCTTTAGAATTATGTTATTTATTCTCTAGTTTCTTTTACATTCATTCTTTAAGGGTTCTTTGTACAATTTTTATTGCATTATGTTCAGTAAATTATATGTTTAGTACTTTTGCTTTTCTACACTTTTTGAGGAAGGGTGAGGTCTTTATGTCCCAATACATAGTCAGTTTTTGTAAAGGTGTCATATACAGCTGAGTATTTGTAAATTCCTTTCTGTTCTCATTCAGTAATCACCAGAGACCTATCACCTCTAACTTTTCTATATTACTATTCAGGTCCTTAGCTTCTTTCTTGTTTGTCTTTTGGTTAGATTTGTCTATGTCTAAAGAGGATAAATTAAGATCTATCACTATTATAGTTTTACTATCTATTTCTCCCTACAATTTGATTAACTTTTACTTTAAGTATTTAGATGTTATGTTATTAGGTCCAAATGTTCATACAAACCATTTGTGCCTACCTGTGGTAGAGCATTCTGAGCTAGTATTGGTTTGGTCAGCCACAGTTGGACACACTGTACATTGACCCCCAACACTGTGATGTTATTTTGATCCTCTTGGATTTTGAAGGACAACAATGATTAGGTGCATATAGATAGATAACAAATACAAAAAATATAAATAACAATATAAATAAATGTAACATATATTTATGTTACATATGAATATATCATATATAAACAAGATAGATACATATGTAAATTGATTTTGATTTGTTATCTATTGTACCTTTAAGCATAATGTAATTTTCCTGCTAATCTCTTTTTATCTTACCCCTCTTTACTATAGTCTTATTTGAAATCATGATTACTACTCCCGCTTTTTTAAGTTCTGCAGAAGCATAAGAAGTTTTGCTTCAGCCTCTCATTTAAACTCTGTGTGAATCTTTGTGTTTCAAGTGTGTTTCTTGTAAATAATACATTGTTGAATTGTGTTTTTTAATCCATTCTGCTATCCTCTTCTATCTTATGGGTGAATTAATCCCATTCACACAGTTATCATTGTTAATTGTACATTTCCCTCCATCTTATTCTCTTGAACTTTTCCCTCCTTTGCTCCTGTCTCACTATTTACAAATAAGAAGGTGGTAGAGGAAAGGGAGTTTGTCTGACACTTGTGATCTTATAAATGGAACAGCTTGTTTCCTTTCTATTGCTGCTGTTCTCCTTACCTCACACCTGATCCCAGGTTTTTACTTTTTTTCCTTTCCTTTTAATCCTCCTTTCACGTTCCTCACTCTAACTTTAAGTTTGTTTTGCTTAGCTCT